CTTTTATTTCTCTTTGTTCTTTACTTTACATTTGCTCATTAGGGAATAAAACTCTGTATCTTTGGAAGCAAGTTTTAGTACAAAAAATATTAATTAGAGAGTAATAAAATATTTATTTCATATTTTTTCTACTTCGTTTGGTCTCTGAAGCTTACCTTAATAGAGGTGGATTTCGTTCGTAGCGGGAAATTAAACAAAAGTAAGAAAAAAATTTATACTTTAAATCTTCATTTCAATGGACAGATAACAGCTTAACACAACATATCATTGCTAATGATAAAAATCTCTGCAAGTGTGTATATGCGTGTGCATGTGTGTGTCTGTATGTATGTAAATCAATCATGTTTTAAAAAATCTACAGCATACTGCAGTCATTGTGGAGTTTTGATGAGACCGCATCAAACAATCTGTTATCGGATTGAATTGCGTTATACAAGGGAAGAGAGATGATTGCGTTCAGGCTGGGAATTAACAGAAGAAGAAGAAAAAGAAATAAAAAACAAAACAAAATTAAAAAAAAAGCAATATCACACATACAAACGTGTAGATATCAAGCTTAGCACGCACTGATTGTGGTCTGGATGTTGTAATGAACTTTTTCCATTTTTACTGGCATACCGTTAGTGCTGTAGTACTTGAAGTAACTAACCGGGCAATTTATTGTTAGTTCCACATAGCGTGTGTATATGTGTATGTGTGTCTGTGTGTACGTACATGTATGTATACGACAACTGCATGCATATAAAGACGACATATGAAACGGAACACTAGCACAAGTTAATAGCTTTAGTAGCATATGTCAACTGCGTATATAAATGTATATATATATATATATATATAGGTATATCCATATATACTCATAAATCGTAGCGTTTTCCTAGGTATGCACATTCACGTATACTTCTACTTACCTGTATTTATGTGCAACTGTTTATAAATAGATATCACAGTTGTTTTCTATGGTTTAGAATTTGTTTCTGTGGTAAATCGTCTAATAGTTGTACTAATTAAAACCTGCAACTTCTGCAGTGAATATATATATATATATATATATATATGAGTATTTGAAAAAAAAATATGTTTGACTAGCATTGCTAGGATATTGAAATTGACAGCACACTCACACTCACACATCTAACAACAACGCCAACGAACATCTTCTTCATCCATGAAGCGAGGAAACAGATGCATTTGAAACCACATAAAGATAAACAAGGACAACAATAACAAATATCGTATAACGAAGAGAAAAAATAAAAATTTTAGTAATTAATCGAAAAAGTATTAAGCCTAATAATACAAAAAAATATAATATAATAATAAAATATGGATTAAATCAATATATAAATGGCGATCAATTAGAGGGCTCAATATTTTTTATATCGGCAAAGAATATACATACCCGTAGGTTAGATTATCAACAACATTAGAAACATGAACGTAGAGAAGAAAAGAAAGATGTCATTAACGTGTATAATAAATAACAGACAAACTATATTCACTGCAGTAGCGTATAAAGTTAAATGATGTACAAGAGCATCAGTGTTTTTCTATTATGTACCTGGCTGGCTGATGGTCTTCGTTTCCGTTTACGGAAATCACTGGGAAACTTAAAACTATCGTTGTGTGTTTTTATGCACACACACACACACACACACACAAACAAACACACACACAAAAACAAAAGTAAAAACGGAAATTGTCAAATGCATTTTGTGATTATAAATACCGTTACAATTACAGACAGATAACAGTCGGTACACATTTAACAAGAAATAAATTCCAAATGAAATTCTGAATCCAGATATTTATGTTTATACCTATTATGGTTGTATGTATATATATATATATATATATGCTTTGACATAATAAACTTTTTCTTATGAAAATAGTTTGCTTGTAACAAACAGTCTCTTATATTTTGTTAAGTTAATTAATATAAAGATTAATTAAGTAATATATTTATTGCATCCTATTCAAAACTATGATGAATTGCGTATTAATTAAGGCAATTACAAATTGATGAAAATTAATTTTAATTGCAAATGCAATGGTGCACCTTCTTTCGCTAGAGTTCTCTTTACACGAATACGAAGCAACGCTAGTTGGGAAATCAAAGAGCTACTCACTTTTACTCGTGTACGATAACTGCGGCCATCACTTCCATTGGCTCCTTCTCTTTCACGTCATCTTTCTGATCATCACCATCGTATTACATGAATAGGAGACATAAAACTTGAGTGACGGGTAAGAAAATTATATTCGGTCGTGGCCGAATCTGTTATATTCATCACCGTTATCATTCTAAAAAAGACCCAAAAAGGTAAGGAACTAAATTTTCGTGCTCTATTATATGAAGTGGGCGTGGCAGCTATTATCAAAATAAAGATTTTTGTCGAACAGGCGTGCGGGCGTTTGCACACGTTTCCTTGGAAAAGTTAAACTTACTTTCAACTTCTTTTGCAACTTGTTTTGTAGGCGACATCACAGATGCGCAAACGAATCGTGTTTATGTGCATTCGAAATTTGAAACTGAACCAAGCATCTATATACTTTATGGAATTTTTGAAATTTTCTTCTGTGCCTTACAAAAGCATTGGAAAAAAACTTAAATTTTGATATACTATAATATTGAGTACACGTGGTCAATTTTTCACATTTCTTTAGAGGTACCAGAACATCGCCCAAAGAGTATACGTTCAAATTTTTATACATTATCGTTTATAATTTATAAGTAATGAGCAAAAAAACCGAATCTTTTTCCTTATGAAAAACAGAGTTGTCCACACTTTACGTAATACTGTAGGCGTGTCCTTCGACCGATTTAGCCCGTTTTCAATCTATATAAAAACCTCAAGAAAGTAAAAACAAAATTTAATCACTTATAACTTTGTGTGGGCACGGGCTGAATTTTGGCATTTTTTCTTGTAAAAAGAAAAGTGTCTCGTAAACTAACTGTGGAAAATTTCAGTTTTCCAACTTGCATAATTTCCGAGCAACGAGCAAAAATCCAAAAATTTTTGTTAAAATAAAAAACGAAGTTGCGTTCAGTTTCCGTTCCACTGCGCGCTTCCATTACGACCAATTTGGGCCATTTTCAATACCAACCTGCGTTCGGAAACTTCCAATGTTTCTATCAAATTTGAAGTCGATATCTAACAGAGTGTCAGCAACACACACCACACGGACGGACAGACATGGCTAAACCAATTCAGAATTTTATGCTGATCAAGGGTATATACACTTTAGAGGGGCTCTAAAGTCTCCTTTATATAAAAGGAAAAGCAAGCACGAAATGAAAAGTTCTTTAAATTGGTGGCGAATATGACAAAGGGAAGCATTACTCCTTCATAGGCAGGGAGCCAATCTAACTAATCCAACGTTAGTTTAAGTAAATCCAAGGTACTGGAAAAGAATTCGAGAAATTATTTGCTACTTATTTGATTGTGAAACATTCGAGCACCTAAAGCACTCCAGCGTATAGAATATCGGTGATCGAATATGACTGATCTAACTGAGATCAAAAGACGAGATGACATTTTAATTTATCAATTGCGTCTGACAAGGTTGCTGTCTAGAAACAGTTGATCTATCAACTGCTGACCTATTCGAAAGTTCTTTGAGAGTTTGTGCTTGGTTTTCGTCCAATAAGTTTCGCAATTCATTGTCTTTGGTATGAAAATCGTCTCATTTAAGTCGTTGAGACAAACAATTGACAATTGAAATATGATGAAGGACGCGTCACGATAAGCTTCTGAACCTTTTTGATGGAAATGGAATTTTGAGTGCCTCGTGCGTTTAGCATGGCCGTAAGCGGAATGGCTCAGTAATATTAAATGGAAAACAGTGGTCTTGTGTAGGGAATGATCAAGACCATTATATTTAACTGGTTTTTCTCGATGCCAATCATTGAACTACGAAGAAATGAACACACATGCACATACACACACAGGCCACGATATTTAATCGTTATGTATACCGATATTTCTCGTTCCCGATCGTCGAACTACGAAGAAATGAACAAACAGACACACGCACAGTTTTGGTTACGTTTATTAATACTGGCATCTCACCATTTATATATACATTACATATACGATATACGATGTTTGTGGCAAATTATGTGTTTTTGTTTTCTTACCCCTACAATTAATTTGCAATAGTACATAGGTATTCATCAGCAAAGTCTTTAGCAAAAAAAAAAAAAAAAGAACGCATAACGGAATCACGCTTACCATGGCAACTCCGCCTCAATCCGAGTAAAAGAGCTGGTATTTTCGACTGCAAGATCACCGAATTCTAATCCAATATATAACGTATTTTTCGGATTATAAGACGCACTTTAAATTTATAAAAGAGCCGATAGCCTGTGCTGCTAATGCTCAACGTCTTTTTTTTTAGTCTAAGAATTTATTTCATTAGTCTAAAATTATAATAATAATAATGATAATAATAATAAATTTATAAAACGATTTTTAGAAATTTACATTTTAATGTTACTTTCGGATCAAAAATTTTTATTTATTGTTAACATAACTCGTTGTGCAGCAATATTCAGTTCATCTTTACTCTCGGTATTATCACTCGTCTCGTTAATGTCACCGTTCGTATTACTTTCATCTCAAACATTGTTGTCGTACCTCACGTAGCTCATGTTTAGAGATGATTTATTGAAAAAATATGTTTAACGTGATCTTTGGACAATAAAACGCATACAACATTTTGGTCCATTTTCTTATGTAAAAAGGTGCGTTTTATAGTCCGAAAAACACGATACTTTTTTAATTTAACAAACTCCTATCATTTTCCACATGGAAAAAGGTAATGCAATCTGAGTTCATGTATTGGAAAATCGCGAGAAATTGATTCCAGAAAATCTAAAATCAATTGTTTGTTTTTTGGTATCCGTTTATAGATCAATATATTACTAAATATGAAAATATTCATCCTTCGATAATAAAGGGGAAAAAATATTGTCTACTATTTTATAATTTAATTAAAAATGAACCACATTTTTTTTATACTAAACGCAAGAGTATTGCACATATGCAAAAAAAAAAAAAAAAAGAAGTCATATATGTTGGATATGGACTTTATGACGATTGTTTGTCTTTTTCTTTTCGCTGACGTTGCACAGCATTTTCTTTAGCTAAACGTTCATTTTCTGTTTTAATTAAATGGCTGAGCTCATCGGTCCAACCTAATGCCCCAACCAAAGCCCATACACCGTCGTCACAGTCTCCAACATAAGCTATGTCGCGTGTATTATTTGGGCTATCAAACATTAAACCCGGCCCGCCGAAAAACCAATAACCCAAGCCTCCGTGATCGTTACCGCCCACTTTAGTCCGATTTATCAATAAACGTAAGCAACGTCGTCCGGCTCGATCGACCAATGAAGCAAATGGTTGCACTTCCAATGACGTTCCCATAATAATAAGTAAATCGCATTTGTTAAAATCTTTACCAGGTAAGGTATAAAATTTATCAGGTAAATTTTCACCGAAAAAAACGATATCAGGTTTAACTACAGACTTGCAATTCGTACAAGTTGGCAACTTATCCGAAAATATTTGATCCTTCATCCATTCCATAGAGTACTGCATATCGCAGCCCATGCAATGATTAGTATAGAAGGTGCCATGAGCTTCTACCAACTTTTCATCCGGCACACCAGCCACTCTTTCTAAAGTGTCAATATTTTGGGTATAGTGGCGCAATAATAAGCCCTTTTCATGTAATAAGCGCACAAAATAATGCGAAGGTGTTGGATTAAACGAACCGGGATATAATTCTTTTGCTAAAGCAAAGAATGGCTTAGGATTTTGTTCAAAATAATGCGATTCAAAGATGGCCGATGGATGTGGAAGATTATATTTTTGTAAATTATCGTATAAACCAGAGCCCGGTGATCGAAAATCAGGAATACCAGCGGCTAAGCAATTTTTATTGAATGAATATTCAATATTAAATATGCAAATTAAAATAGATATTAACTTACAAGTAGAAATCCCAGCGCCCACCATAGTAATAATATTTTTAAAACCTTTAGTCTTCCAGTGCTCACATAAACCTTCAAAGGTTAGATCGTCGATAAGCTGTAGAAAAGGAAAAATTTTTAAATAACGATAATGATGATATTTAATAATCTACATATATACAACGATTTCAAAATAATGGTATGATTAGATCGAACTTGTCTATTTTTATATTTTGTGGAAATCTTCGTTACCGACTAATAGGTGAATACAATCATGGACATGATTATTTCGAATCAAAATTTCAAATGTACTTTATAAAAACTTTGATTACCTTATTTCTGATATAACAATTATTGCGAATATAAAGATTTACCTTTTTCCCTGTGCAGTCATCTTCATCCTGTGCAGTATTCAAATTCAAGTTTTGTGCAAAAAATTTACGCATCGCTTCCATAGTGCTATCTTCTTCTTCTAAACAATCTGGAAAATTAAAAAAACGAAAACAGCTTCAGTCCGTTTAAGTAAAAATTAAAAAAAAAAAAAGCGTTTCTGTGAATATTATATCAAAATTTTTATGTAATTCTAGTTTTTTTTTTTTTTTTTGTGTGTGTTGAGTGGAGATGGACTAAGCCAATAAATTTTTGACTTATATGATTTAATTCTAATTATTTTTAAAAAAATTTTGATATAATATATATACAAGCTGTTCATTTTCAAATTTATGTATGCTATCAAACTAAAAATAACGGTTTAAAATTTTGCATTCTGAGACACTCTTTGTTTTCATATAGCATATATATAAGCTATTCGTTTTCAAGCGCTATCAAACTAAAAATAGTGGTTAAAAATGTTGCATTCTTAAAGACTCTCTGTTCAAAAGTTATTTATTTCTATCTTACGCTCTCTTGTTTGCTCTTCAATTTTTGTCTTACCCTTAGTGTATTCGGTCTCTTGATTGCTCTCTTCATTATTTTTATTTTTTTCTTTAGATGTTGTGGGTTTATCTTTGTCGTCACACATTTTCGTTGATTTTATACTATTTCTCAATGATATTATTAAAATTTCGTTAACTTTAAAGAGTCGTTTAGCAATTAGTTGAACCGTTTTGCGCAAATTTGAACAAAAGTCAAAAAATAAAAAGAGATATGTTTTAATATATCTATGAAAACTTCAGATCCCAAACACAGCAGACGAAAACAAAACACAGTAAATTATAAAATATATCAGACGCTGCCACCTTTTTAAAAGCGCCCTGTACTTTACGTTAACGCATCGAAAAATACTAAATAAGCAATAAATTAATTGCTTTATGACACTGGTTTCTTAATCAAACAAAATTAATATTGAATTTTCGCCGTCAGCTACAATTTGCAATAATGCTTAGAAATATACAAACGAATATTATATAAACTGCATATATATATATATATAAATAAATACTTGATCAGTGTATATCTGCTTGACGGTTAAATCAGTACAAAACAATTGAAAATATGCATTGACAGTTGAAGAAACTGTACTTAGCCTATTTAATACTGAACTTTCTACTGTTACGACCCAAATCGCTTCGCAAGCTCACTTATAATTGGTTACCTTTGCGCTCATGATCAGTTGTAGCAATCTTACCATTATCTTCGTTTTGCCTTCAGTATGCTATATGTGTAAACTATGTTAAGTATACGAGTACGCTAGATTAATATATTGATATATTGTGAGAGAACTTTATAAGAGACCCGACATCTACATATATGAAACGATGCCATTTCTACGTGATGCATTGCCTTTGTATGATATGATATAACCATTATATCCACCTTATTACATTATTATTATTATTATTATTATTATTACAATTAATTTAGCTAAAAAAGACTTAAAGCACCAGCATGCATGTAAGCCTATTAGCGCATTTAAACATTGCTTGAGCTAGGCAGGCGCAATGATGTGCACCTAATGTGGGTATCTGATCATCCGCGTGTTAAGAGAAACGAGAGAGCTGACTGTCTAAACCAACGAAGGAGACCGAGGGACAATGTTAGATTGTAAACCTTTCTGTGACGTACTAAGAAGCCATGTTAATAGGCTGGTACCAAGATGGGCACAGAATAAATCGGATTGTCACTGGAAACAACGGCAATCAAAAAGATTCATAAAATCTTTCGGTATGTCACATAAACTACTGAAAGTAAGAAAATGCGTCCCATTACGTTCTATGTGAATGGGAGGCCATCTGCAGAATCAGATAATAAATGTTTAGTGAGACGTTTTACAACGCTAGGCACGGTGTAGTGCTCTGATGCAACGAAGGTGGCGAAATTTATAAAAATCCTAAAATTGGATGGCTAGGACGAGTAGGGCGAGTATAGTAGATATAATAATTATAATAATAATAACGCTGGCGGCTTTACTAAAAACTGTACTTGAGATTTAAACCTCGACCATGGAATTGTTAGTCGAGATTGTTTGTCTACTCAGCCACTCGGGCGGCTTACTTGACAACAATGTACTATATATATATATTCTATATATTATTCTATTATAATACAGAAGAATTATATTCATTCTATTATATATTTCTATTTTTAAATATTATAAAACAATGTTTACAAGATTTTATGAAGGCAAGCAAATAAATGCACTTACCGCAGCAAAACTTTAAACCTTTTTTTTCATGTCAAATGTGGACGTAGGTATGTAAATCCGCTTGTAAGATTCCTTTCTTTTATCTATATAATTTCTTTCTGTATTTGTGGCGAAAAAGGATGCCTTTACTCTGAATAATATTTCCAAAGGAAAATCTTCCAATGAAATACACATCTTCTTTGTTTGACCAAGCGTGTGCTCATCTTGAGCACCAACGTTTTCAAGGAATTTTTTTGTTTTTTATAAAAATGCGTTCACTACAAGGCCGTACAATATATAGCGATTTAAGTTTTCCTCGAGTCTAAGAATATATTTTAGGTTAAAGCGGAGATTTGAAAAATTAAAAATAAGAAATATCGATAAATTCGTTTTATACCATTTTGCAACTTTATTCATTTACTTATTTATTTATTTTTCATTTTCTAAATCCATAAGATCGAATACAACACTGTTGGGTACCACGCTAAGTTTATTAAATGCAACCCTACAATGAAATTGTCATCAATTCTGTTATGATAATTTGACAAATTGACCAACCCCAGCTGTTTGTTTTCTTTTCCTGAAAATTTTTTCTTCGCATCCCAAAATTTTGGAGCGTATATTTTCAGAAGATAAAAATTTAAGTGAAATTTGTTTTAGATTTTTGAATAATAGAAAGAAGCAAAAATTTTTTTTAATAAAAATTTTATAAATAATTGTTTAAGTAATGCAAAAGTGAAACAGGTCCCGGTGATAATTTCAGACCAGAATTGGCTGATTAGCAGTCAAAACACGTTGCCACAGTGGCAAGCAAAGCAGACTAGTTGGGTAAGTATATGTTTGGTACAGGCAGCTTATAGGCAAAGACAAAAGCGCGGTAATTTTCTATAGTAATCGTATGGATTTATTATTAGAAGATTTGTGTTTTTTTTTTTTTATGATTTTGCAATTCCTACGATTTTGTTTTATAGTTGGTTTTAATGAAAACATCTTTAGAGGACAATAAGGGCTCAAGCTATGTCACATTAATAGTTGGATAATCGTATATACGCTCGAATACAACATACCTCATGAAAAATGCACCTCAATCATGCCACTGCAGTGAGTGCGGCCGCCATGGCCAATTATCAGCACTACGCGCCCGCTCAAATTTCTTCAACACATGGTGTCACCACATCAACGGGGCAACAACAGACAACAATTACGGCAGCCGGTTTACAGCAAACGCCGTTCACGTTACATCAATTAACAGCTGTACAGGCTATCCAACATCCGACGCATCAGGCCATTATACATCCACAGCATCCGTTAGTTCATTTATTAGATATCTCAACTACGGCCACTACCAATAATACCAATGTAAGTAGTAATCCGGCTCCTATCACGCCACTGCCTGTAACTAAGGTTGAGGTAAACGAAGAAGAGGTAGTGGTTGATGATCCTCGCAAGAAGAAACAGTGCCACATATGCAAAAATAAGTTCCGCCAGTTGACTACTTTACGTAATCACATGAAAATTCATACAGATGAACGGCCATACAAATGTAAACATTGCGATAAGGCTTTTCGTCAAATATCCACCTTGACTAATCATGTCAAGATCCATACGGGTGAGAAACCATTCAAGTGCAATATTTGCGCCAAGGATTTCCGCCAACAAAGCACTCTAATCAATCATATAAAAACACACAAGGGTGAGTGGTGCCGGCGACCTGCCCATCCTTAGTGGGGTTTAAAAAAGAGTGCCAACTACTGAAACGATTTTTTTACTTTTTAGTTTTTGCTTCACTTGCAGAGTCAAACGGCGGTATACCGACTTCGCTACTTAATTATCAGCCGCCACAGTCACAAGGCTCTTCGAAAAGGGGTCATAATAAAGGTGCAGCCGCTGCTGCTGCGGCTGCTGTCCAGGCCCAACAATTGCTGCAACAACATCAGCAGCAACAGGGCCAGGGCGCTTCAGTCATATATACCCCTCAGCAGCGTCAAAACATTTCGAAGAGCCTGTACAGTGGCAGCTACAATTCGCCACAAGCCGATGAACTGGTAAAGCCATATCAGTGTCAGATATGCAAGCGAAGGTTCCCACAGCTCAGCACTCTGCACAATCATGAACGCACCCACATAGATCCTAAACCGTATAAGTGTGACTCTTGCGAAAAGGCCTTCAGTCAGCAGGCAACCCTGGCCAATCATAAGAAGATTCATTCGGATGAGAAGCCATATGCGTGCGCTTATTGTTCCATGACATTCCGTCAGCAGAGCACGCTCAACAATCATATGAAGACTCATGCGAATGCAGTGACCACCATTACACCAACAGTTACAGCAGGCACAGGTGAGGCGCTCGTCTTGTCGCCGTTCAACTGAGAGAAGTGTAAACGAATTTGATTTTCGCCTAACACAAAGCTTTATTTTAAATTTTTACACGCAATCCACTACCGGCAGCCAATAGCGGACAGGCCAACAACAGCCACAGCCACACAAATTCCCATAATCAACACCACAACCATAATAATAACATCCCCATTACAGCAGCCACTGTCGTCGTGGCACCGAACGCTTCGGGTCATTTACAGCTTCAGCCGCAGCTTCAGATGGAGCATCATCCGTTGTTACATTTTTTGGACAGCAACACTACAGTGAGCACCCTTAGCACTAAGGATCAATTCGCTAAGGATCAATTTGCTAATAATAATAATAATAACAACAATCACAACAACAACGCCGCCGGCGGGAATGCTAATGGTAATACGGTTAGTGTAATCGCGACCTGTTTACGCAATGATTGTCCAGATCGTCCATTCATGTGTAGTGTTTGCCGTCGATGCTTTTCGCAGCAAAGTACACTTACCAATCACCTGAAGACTCATACGGGGGAGAAGCCGTACAAGTGCAAAATATGCGAAAGTAATTTTCGCCAACTCTCCACACTCAATAATCACATGAAGATACATACCGGCGAAAAACCGTACGCTTGTTCCTATTGTCCTAAACAATTTAGACAGAAGAGCACACTCACCAACCATTTACGCATACATACTGGTTGAAAATTGTTTATTAACAAGTAGCAGCCGAGCCTACACAACTATTATTGTAATACACACAAACACACACATACACATATATATAGAGTAAATGGTAAACGATTGATGCTACGTTAAAGACGATGATAAACATGATGGTATAATAGCAAAAGTAAAAAGAAAAAAAAAAGAGAAGAAAAAGAAAAAAAAAAACAGCCTCTTCAGTAGTTTCTTAGAAACTGCTAATAGACAAAAAATGAAATTTGAAAACGGAAACAAACAAAAAAAAAAAAAAAAACAAAGCAAAACGAAAAAAAAAAAGGAGAAAAGGAAAATTGACCCTAAACTAAGCTTAGATTTTGATGTTCGTTAATAGTTGTGTTATGTATACAAAACAAAACAGACGAAAAAGGAAAACAAAAAACTGCTGTGCAGAGCCTACTTTTTCTTCTCCCTGTCTACCACCCACCCTAAATAGATAAAACTTTATATCAGACTTCGATTACATGTATACCTAAGGATTCCCATGTTCCTCTTGAAATCTCCCCTTCTTAAGCCAATCACTTCAATGTTAAATTTACAAAAAAAAAAGAGAAAAAAAGAGCAAAAAAATGAAAACTAAACGTGTGCAATATCTAATCTAACCATAACCGTATACAGGGTGTTAACTATTTCGAATATAAAATTATTTTATAAAAATTTATTTTAATTTTTTTTTTTTTTTTTTTTTTTTTTAAAAAAAAAAATATTTAATTTATTATAATTTTAAAATTATACAAAGCTTTCAAAATCATGCTGTTGTTAATAGTATCATTAGGATTGGCTTTAACTATAACACATTTCTGTCCCTTATTCCACAATTGTCTCTTTACTTATTTTTTTACTCAATTTTTTCCTACCAGCGTTTTTTAGATTGCTTTGCATTCTTTCTGTCCTTCTCGTTTTTTTCCTTTACCTCATTTTTTGTTTATATATATTACAAGTAAGCAGAGGTTTAATAATAATTTTATATATAAATTGCATTGTTTTTAGTGCAAAAAAAAAAAAAAAATAGAATGAAAAGAAAAAATTATGAGATATACAACAAGCAGCGTCTTAGAATATTTTTTCAATCTATAATTTTGTAATGATGATCATTTTTACATGTTATATTAAATTAAAGCAAAAACAAAACAAAACAAAAAAAAAAAAAAAAAAAATTGTAATGATAATGAAATACAATAAAAATTGAAATTATGATAATTTGTACTTAATAAATGACAAACCCAAGATTATTTGTATTTTAACATACAGGTTTTTTCCTTAAGGTCACCCGTCTCACCCGTCAATCTTTGCTTACTCAACAAAATGGCCGCGAAAGGGATCGTTCGTGACAAGAACAGCGAGTAATAGTCCAACTCTTTTGAATATTTTTTAACCGTCTCGTTAAGTGGTATACGATAACTTGCATTTTTTTCCTTTTTTTTTTTTTTTTGCAGAGAGCTCAATTGGTCCTACCTCTGGGTGAATATAAGCGTGATTATGCATTTAAATTTTCGAAAATTTGCAAAATTTAATATATAATCATAGTTGATGCGATATTTTCATTCTACAACTGCCTAGAGCCGATGTGAGTATTTTTATAAGAATTGGTAAATCTAATGCTCGACGAATGTCATTAAATCCTTTTTTTTGAAAGTTTTGAATGTGTGTTAACCAATTAAGGATAAGTTGGACGCTGTGCTTTATCACTTACCCCATTAAAATTTTGATCAGCTTACATCGTCAGAAACTTTAGCTAATAACGAGATTGCAAAAGTCGGTGGCCGCAATGGGGAAATTGTACGAATTGGAATTCGATTTGCTATATCTTGTCTAGCGTTTTCCTTAGATCTAGCCTGCAGCGGGTATTATCTGTTGGCGAACATTAAAAGTATGTTTCAATAAAAACAAATTTGGATCAAGTGATTAGGACATTTAAACACATTTTAGACATTGTGTAAATATCGTTCTAAATAATACAAGTTACTAAAACGTTAGAGAATTTGTGAACTAATTGTATTATTGTTGAAAAAGACTTCTGTTATAAATAAAATCGAACTTTGAAAAGAAATTGTTTTTCTCTCACTTAGTAGCTTCTCAGACAAGCTCCGCCAACTGGCTAAAAAAAGAAGTTATCGCTTTGAGCTGTAGCCAAGCTCTATAAATAGCGAGTAAGGCTGGCACAACATTTTGCGATTACAGGACAACGGTATACTATGTTGTTTTGGTGTGGATTGAAATCTGAATTGTGGTAGAGTTTTCTGTAAAGCCGATATTCTTAGATGGTAATGCTCTAAGACCTTAGTCTTTGAATTTCTGTGGATAATTTCAGGAATAAAGGGCTTGGCTTGGTTTGGCTTGAGTGGATGACCACTACCATTTAAAAATAAATCCATTAAATATGTATACAGTGTATATTCAATAATAAAATTTACAAGAACACCAACTCACATCGCGTCAGCTGCTTGAGACCTCCGAATTTATTTGCTCAAGTCGGTTGGCATTATATCTCGCTTGTGCAGCCTCATCCGATCATCCATTATAAAACCTTAAAAAAATCGCTCAATTTTTTTTTTCGTTCCAGTAGGTATTATGGATGGAAATTTCATTTGGTCAAATTTTTGCTCTTAATTCATATGATCTGTAAATATCGAGGTTCCGTTTGTGTACAGACCAAGTGAATTAATAGTGATTTTTGATCAACGTTTAGTTCCGCCTTGATTCTATCAACACCATTAATCACCAAAGCACCAACGATATGCGTTTATAGCATCAGAATTTTCAGAGCGGAAACAGGCGATTCATTTCCGTATTTAGAATAAAGTCGAACTCCAGAAACAACTCTGTTCAGAGCCAACCAATTTCGTTAGCTCTTGGCTGGAATTTGCACAGTTACTCGATGGTGCATTTTCAATCTTAACACTGCTTCCAGCAGCAGCCACTGGCGAAAAAGCAGCGCCTGGCATCGCAATGACTTTAACCGGTTCTTTTGAACATGGTATTAGCAGTGCCTATGTAATAATTTCAAAACTAGGCGTAACATATAACTTGGTTGCCAAAAGCTGCTTAATGAGTGTAGATGGAATCAAAGATTCCGGTGTAAAGGCTTTAAAAACAATGTTTTCGGCTACTACCACTTTAGCAACCCCTCCGACTTTTACAAGAGTTTCTGAGGCCCGAAGAAACATTGGATTAAGTTTCAAAAAATTATAAGCCTTACTTACAGGGCCATATTTCGTGGCGGCCACCAACATGTACTAAATATGGTCTACCGGATTACATAAGTAGTAGCTACACGGTAAGGTAACAAAACAATTTTACAAAATTTATGGTTTGTCGCGTAAATTGGAGATAGCGTTAGCGAGTTTCCTTACGACTTCAAGGATGATTAAGATGCTGTTTATAGCAATGGCAACCATAACTCAATTGATGAGTATTTTAGGATATTTTCTAAGCGATTTCTAAGGCTCTGGTGATATTTGCCTGAGAAGTTTGCACCAGACTTGCAGCAGGCTTCCGACATGCTTTATAGCACAATTAATAAAGGATGTCCACAAGAACGATAAGTTTTGCTTAGCAATATATGATAGATTGAGCTTTTTAGAGGCTTTACATATGCAGAGTACCAGCGGTAATTAGTTTAGAAGGTATCGAGATCTAATAAAGTCATGTGCATAGATTAGCAGAGTGGGTCGTGTGTTCTTTAGCCCTTTAGTGTACGTAGTGTTTGCCGATTTTGCGAGCCATAGTGAATAAGAAGATCAGTCAAGGGCCGTTGTATTCACCTGTTAGGCGGTGCGCTCGAACTTGCGCTAAATCTATGCTTTTCATGACATGTATATTTCGGCGAACCAAAAGGAATTGCGGGAATAATAAATCCATCGTTTCGTCAGTCAAAAATAAGTGCTGCCATTTTACAAGGAGACAGACTCGTTCTCTTCGCTTATGGCAGAATTTCTTTATACTCATGGTTATAGGGCAAAGGTTTAAAGGAAACTTACTTCCTTAAGGGACTTGGTTGGGGATTTTGCGACATGCTGCCATTATTTGAATTGCTTCGGTACAGTACTTACACTGCTCTTTTAAACCGCGTCAGGAAATATTTGTACTCACCTTGTATCACATCTATTTGTTCACTACGGTATTAGAAATCCTTACATAAATGTATTTATCAGGTCTCAGATCCACATCTACTATGAATTGTGGCTTACAGCCGTGCTATTGGCTTTTGCGATCATGTTGCCGAGTTTCCCCTCGCAAAAAATACACAAGTGATAGGAGTACGTCCACGTACCACAGCGCGAGTAATGGAATTTCGGTGTTGTTCGGTATTTTCGAATTGCACGCAAACATCCCGCTTTCTTTCTTCGTTCTCTTTAAAAGTTTTTTAGTTAAACTTTGCGTTAAGAAACAGAAAATAGAGATTTCTTATTTTTTTTTTTTTTTGTTTTTTAATTATAATTTATTATTATGTATTATTCTCAAGCAACAAAAATATTAAAGAAAATTTTTTTTTTTTTTTACTTTTAGCTTTTCTTTCTTTTTTTTCTTTTTTTTTTAATTATGATTAATAAGAATGTTTGATTAACTAATTAGAGACGGGCTTATTAATAGAACGCATTTACATCGATCGTGTATAGAAGTACAATATAAATTGATTAGAGCGTTTAGGCGAAGCTATACCATTTTTCTATATATATATATATATATATAATCATATATATACTTTTATTAATTAATAAAATAAAATTGTTAATAAAAATTCAATAATTTGTAAAAATAATTTCACTTAGAAGTAAAGAAGAATATATCGTTAAATACATTTTAAATTTGAAAGGAGAACACAGCGCACCTTAATAGGTATATGCATACCTATATATATATATATTTATATATATATATGAAGTAAATTTAGAAAAAAAAGGACAATAATTATTTTTTTTAATTAACTTTACTAATTTTCTTGTTTTATTACAATTTTTATGATTGAAAATTTCCCGCGACCAGTGCGATAAGCGAAATTAAAAATATTTTTAAGGAATATTAAAAAAATATTTTTATATGTATTCGCATGTATATTATTATATTTGTAAATATATATTCCTATATTACTCATACCTCGTTTTCAATTTATCTTATACTTGAACTTTGTTTTCTTTTCGTTACAAATATTCTTTTGTTTTTTTTTTTTTTTTTTTTTTTTTTTTCAATTTTTCCAGCGAAAAAACATTTACGGATAAAGTAACCACCTGAGAAAGAGACTTAATATAATGCCGCCAAACAGATACACTAACGATCTAAATATTATGGCTGGCGGTAAATGTTGAGTTAGTAGGCTTTGAAAACTTGACTTGGAGTCTGCTGTCAGCCGATCAGATGACATTATTGAATGCGGTGCGTATTGCATACGCTCTAATTTCAAATGTATTAGGGTCAGCTGACGCGTATGCTCGTCCAAACCTTTGTTTACTTTTTCGAGTGTCGCCATCAATCTGTTAGATAATATGTTGATTTTATCTTCAATTTCAATGTTAATTATAAATTTTAACTCACTGCCGGATAGCTTTATTAGAAATATTGGAGCCTGTTCCATCATATGGATAGTCCTCTTGCGATTGACTCGAATCCGAATGCATATCCAATGTGTCGCGTGCAATAGATGTTATATGATGTTTCGTTATCACAGGTGCTCCGAGGGAATCTTTGCCACGCAAAACTTGTGCGGGAACGCTAACGATGCTGGCCGTACGCACCATTGGAGCCAAATGACGCGTTTTCGTTAGAACTTTATAATCGATTTCATATTGTTTAACATCATTACGAGGATCCCATGGTCTAAGGTCTGCATACTTATAAATCCACTGTAAATATATCAGCACACAATATATAAAGCTTTTTGTCTAACATTCTATATCTGCAAAATTCTCCCTGTCTGTCCGAATATCGAAATACGAATTTTATTATTTTTAGTCCTACTGCCAAGTGTCACTTGAACAGCATCGAAGGCTATAGAGACAGACACATGTGTCATTGCTGAGTTTGACAGTTCGGAAGATATGGAGGGTTTTACATTTTTATCCCACGAAAACTTCACAGAAGTTTACATCTAAAAGAAATGCTGGTACCTTACCGTTATAGGAATAAACGGACCAACGAAACCTAGTTATCGAACGCGCAACACGGGTGCGCTTGTGAGCACAAAGTTGGGCCATTCCCTATTTCTCTTCCCCAGCTTTGTTCTGATCACCGTCATACTACACGTACAGGGATATCTCCTGAGTGAATGGTTATACTTAAAAAAAAAAATTTATATGTACAATGAAACCATTTGAAATGGATTTCTTCATACAATTTTGTCATTAACTAATATTGGCTAAGTCCCTGCTCTTTGTACACATCGCTGGCCACTAATAAGAGTTATTTAATGAAGTTCTGAACGTGTTTTTTACATACACTAGTTTCATCACGAAGGTAATTTTCATATGATTTGTCCACATCCGTCCATGTGTCCGTCAGTTGGTTTTCAAATTTTTATTTACATGAGAATCACCGCAAAAAAGTGAATCGTCCACAATAATCTACATCGAGGTTCACCCATTAAAATTGAGAAAAATCTTATAAAAAACCTTGATCCATAAAAGTCTGAATTAATATATAAAAGAGAAACTGAAAATTTCAAAAAAATTTCATTAAAAATTGATATTTTCTTCTTCTTTCTGCCGCATTTTCATTTAATTTTTCAAGCCGATAAAATTAACCCGATCTGGCTATTACCATATACATATAGTGCTTAACGATTTCTATAATATTTATATGCAGAGTTTGTAAAAGAACCAACACCGATAGCAAGTGATTTATTTATAGCAGGCTCTTCTATTACGGGTTACACAGTTTTCCCATTGTTCAGATATATATTATTCTTGTGACGCCAACACGTCATCGAATCACTTTTTTTTTTTTCTTAGGAGCAATACTACTGGTCAGCAGATACGTGACACTCATTTAACGTTCGTCCTTTCAAATTGTTATATGAGAGTATGAAGTAATTTTTTTTGTACTGAGGTTTTAGAGGTTTACTTTACATCTCCTGAAGCTCCTCGTTATAACATGGCTTCTCTAAGACTCAGTGATGGAAGTGATAGACTTAGCTAATGAACAAAGCAGTTTTGTTCTTTAGTTGATATTTGCTATAGATTATAAGTACAACTTCTCATCAGCATGATAATGCGAGAATTTCAACTGTTTTCAAACACAATACACAAACACTCTATGAATACAGCTGAAAATTTTCAATAACACTCCACCTTTTTTCATTTTTTTTTTTTTTTTTCTATATTTTTAAGATTCCAAAATGAGCTGACAAACAAGCAGACAGACGGATAAATACACATAGTGGAATCAATTTCGAATCTTTCGCTAAACATATATGTTTTTTTTAACATTTTTGCTTGTTACGAAATTAGTGAACAGTCATCCTTCGATAGTGGGCAGAAAATATATGTAAGGCTAAACTGAGGTAATCCCAATTCTTCTCATATATATATATATATATACAAAAAAAGATTATATTTTAACACACGTTACTTTACCTTGCCTGTTAAGAGGTCTTGAGAGAAATGATAAGGATCCCACTGAACAAATGTGGCCTTACGTTCTTTGGCTCCTTTACGCTGAGCCTCTTCAAGTACCGTTTTCTCTTCGGTTGCGCCGCGTTGATCGTCGCGTCTAATAGCAGCCGAGACTAAACTCCATAAGCGTTCAGATTCATTAGGCAACTGGCTATCGAAAGGCACAATATAGCGTTGCAATCGTTGCTTCATTACGTCCTTTGTGGCAGCAAACAATATACCTTCTTCTCCCGTTTTAACATCTTTGATGCGCATTTCGCCATCCCAGTGTCCTTCGATTGTAGCTAAAACTTCTTTGACCAATTTAATTTTACCAACCACACAATTGGTGTGATCAGCACCACCCAAGAAAGGTTTCAGCTTAAATTCCAGTTCCGTCTTGTAACCGGTGCTCTCGCATTCAATGCTAATTTTACCACCCAATTCCATCGATAAAGTGCCCATTAATATACCTTTGCAGTGGGCATAGGGTGTATTTAATACATAACATTCGCCGCGTGGCAATAACGTTAGCTTAGCCTCACCATCTAATACAGCCGACGTACTATTGCCGTAGAACTTCGATTTGGCCAAGATGGAGCAACTGATGCTGAAACCTTCTTGGCGATTGGTCACATAAAATGCCGATACTGGTGGATGATGAGAGACCTGCTCGGCTATAAAATAAGTTCGACTGGAATTTTGATGTTCCCAATAACATCGAAAAGTTTCACCCAATATCGGATTATAAGGTTTCTTTAAACCTTTTGGCTTCTTATAGAAACCCGAAAGGTACCATTTTAAAATCAATTTCATACGAGTAAATGGATCGTCTTCAGTAACAGCGCTGAAAATATATGTATATATATATATATATATATATAGAGTTGAATTGAAAGAGAATTTCAATGAAAAAATCAAAATTCGAAATTTCTTACCAAGATAAGATGTCAGCATGATAATATGAATCGGATAATTTATCCAAAAATGAACGAGGCTCCAATATGAATGTAGGTAAGGTTACTTTACTTAAATCCATTCCTGGACGGACTTGCTTTAGGAGGCACCATATTAAACTTTTATTTTCTTCAGCCAACTCTTCAACTTGTTCTCCTGTCTCCTACACATATATAAGTCGAAAATTAAAATGAAGTTCTCAATTACTATTACATATAAGAATCAGAATTGAGAAAATGCTATTTTTTTTTTTGTAAATTCCGAAGAAAATTTTGGATACGTCCATTAATTTACAAAAGGAGCACATAGGTAGAAAATTTCGAAATCAAAGGAAATGCTTATTAAAAGCATTAAAGGCAAAGTAATATGGGTTTCAAGCTTCATCGAAATAAACCTTTCTTGTTCCCATTTTCTATGTCTTCAGAGGAAGTGAAATGAGATCAAACAAGATTTGCCGATCCTAGCAGGCAGGTTAATAAATCCATTTCAAAAATTTTGTTTTTCATATTTCGATCGCAGACTGGATTGGATTGTCGACAGCACTCCATATCAATAACAACAATCAACGATATTGTAATCAACTTCTATACCCAAAGCTTTTAATTTCAAAAAAAAAACTCGAAAAAAAAAATTAAATTTTAATACCCTTTAATATCGAATGGGCGTGGGCAATTTTTTCCACTTTTATATAAGTGCAATGCAGTATTTACATGGAAGGTATTCTCAGTTTATCAAACCAAAGTCGCAGTTTTTTCGACCGGGAGCATGTTTACCCCGAAAGACAGAGAGACGGATGGACATTCGCGGATTGTTTCAGAATTTTATGTTCATCAAATGTATATATATACACTTCATAGGATCTATGAAGCTTCCTTCTGGATATTTCAAACCTTTGTATACGAGGTTTATATACGTCCTTCGTTCACAATACCTTTTTTTAATAGTTCTGATGAGCAGTCTACGTTAAGTTATAATTGTTTGTCTGCGTGATTCATGATCATTCAATGGTCGATGACGGGAAAATGACATTCGCATCCCTTCGCTATGGTGCAAGGTCTTTCGCATACATAATGCAAATACAAGGGCCACGTTATGAGAGAAATTTTTATTTCCATTGAGAGAGGAAGAGCTTCTTTTGCGGACTCCATATAAAGGATATCAAAAAACGTAAACCCTGTTCCTCTTCACCAAATTTGTGCCAATTATTTCTGTTTTGCATTTTTTTCATTCGTTTCATTTCATTTCGTTCCAATTCGTGGTCGTATCCAAGAGTCAATTTCATATATATATCGATAAGAATACGGAATTTTATATAAGATTTCAATAAATCGAGATATCAAAATCGATTAACTGAAATCAGACGACTGTTCTTCCAATAATAATGTGTATTCCTACTCTTTTGACTTATTGGAAAAATTGATTTTTATTGACTTTTCTTTTCATTTTTTTCATACCGGATTAATTTCTTCTTCTACGCTTGGTACATATGGAGTTTCAATTGGATCATCTTCGTTTTCTAATTGATGTTGCGATTGTTTATCTGCATTTGGGCCGTCGTTGGCATCCGACTCGGTGTCCGTATCTATACCGGACATAACACCGGTGGGCGCCTCATTTTGACTATCGCCATCCAAATCTTTGTAGCGTAACAAAGCGAAAAATTTTTGTTAATATTTTTGTTAAACGAAATTTAAAAAAATTTTTTTTTAAAAATATATTAAATTTAATTTATTTATTTTTATATTATAGCATTTTTGTAAACGAAAAAATGTGCAAAATATGTTTTTTTAAAAAAGAAATTTTTTCTTAATATTTGACATTGTTTCCCTATTTATATAGAATTTCTTGAAAATTTTTGTTCTATTTTTGAATTTGTCCCAATTCGATTTAACCCTTTCAATTTGAAAAACCTTTGTTTGTTTTTTTTTTTTTTCTTTTTCTTAGCAGTTTAAAGCATTGCAAGTATATAAGCACTCTAGTGTGTGTGAGTGTAAATTATAGTCAAGGAATTGGAATTAAATTTCGTTCAGTAAAAAAAATGATGAACGCCATCTAGCCAACTAATGACCCAAAACGTGATAAGTTTAATATGATTTGTAAGTTTTTATGTTTTTTAAAAGAAAATCTACCCGGTGGAGCGGAAACTGGTCGTACTGTTATTGTCGGTATGATATTCGGTGTTACAGTGATACATTCATCTTCATCGGACGAGGAAGATGAATTGTTATTAACAAGCACGTTTGACATCGACGTTGCTCTTGTTAGCGGTGTCATTCCTGGCAGTGCCCTTCGAGGCGAACCTTCGACACTGGACAAATCACTGTACTCGAAATCTTTGCTAGATAATTCACTTTTTGATTTGCGTAACCTTTGCAAGCGCCTGAATCTATCCAATTCGTTTACGTTCGCCGAAACAATTTGTTCCCAATTCGTCATAGCCATATAGAGTTGCTGTAATATGGGCGTTTGCGATGCCGAACTAAAGAGACTGGATGTCGAACTAGTTTGAGATTTTGAGAGCTCAACATCAGGCACCATAAGATATTGATTTTTACGTAGAACACGACCTGTGTAAATGTTGTTTAGTTTTGAACTTGTGTTGTGTACGCGTGTAAAGTGTCTTTAAAAACTTTGACAATATTGTTGAAAAACATATATATATATATATATATATATGTATATGTTTGTTTAATATAAACTCACCCCACTTACTAACTTACCTTGATCCTTAAAATGTTTCTCATAATCTGCTTCGGACCATTGCGTCTCATGTGAAATGGAGCCCTCGGTACCGGTAACACTTTGCGTAGTACCTTGTGCCGAATTTGAACGTAATAATAAACCCGAACAACGTAAAGATAATTCAAGAGCATCCATCCAGCATTTACCGGCCGCTTGACTAGGTGCACGAAATATTAAATAAGAAGTCGGTAATGGTTGAACCACAGCACCTTCATATCACAAAATAATTGCATTACACAGATTTATAGAATATGTTAAGATCGTGAATTAGTTTACCAATTGTTTCTTTATCCGGTCCTCTAGGAGCCCATATGGATTGCTCCAGGGGATGAAATAACTTAAAGCAAAAGCCATCTTTTTTGCTCGGCCTCTCAATAACTTGGCACGATGTTAAAAGTATTGTGCCCACCCAATGGCTGCTTTTGGTTTTGGGACTTTTGTATAGAAGTAAAAGACCCGGTTTGAGTACACACCACAGTTTCGTCCATGATTTCAATGTACCACGAACCTGAAAAATAAAAAAATATATTTTTATAATTTTCAATGAAGAAGCACAGATTTATAAAAGTACAATCCGCTCGACATTCGATTTATTTGATCAAGTTTTTTGACGACTACGTCGAGTTTTATCATATTATAAAAATTACACGTCGCCTGATTGTCCACAAACTAGTCACAAAGACAACAAATTTTTCAAAATCATCTTTAGTATACGAATTGCTTGCTCATCGCCTCCATAGCAAGGCTAGAATATATTCATAGAGTTCAAGTTTTCCATGGACGTTGCCATTATAACTGTATAAAGATAGTAACCCGACACAAACTCATAAAAGCTTGAACTGGTCGAAGGCACATCTGTTTTTTCTTGGTCCCGGGCACCATGTCTCTAGAAATTTAAGGTGGATTGAAAGCCATAGCGTCCGAAAAAAAAAATTTATTCATATTCACATTCATCGCGTCGGGATCGATTAGTCTGCAATTGCAAGATGGAACACGTATATGTACGTGTATCTCTTCTTTCCCTTCACACTGATCTCAGAATATCATCCTAAAAACAGGAGGTATCACTCGAAGAGCCTCAGTAAAAATATTGCCCATCATAATCATCAAACACTTACCCCTAGTGCATTGACGAACGAACACCACTGACTTTGAAGCGATTTTTACCTCTGGCAAATTCGGTTAACATGACACTACGAACCGTCTCGGTTCCGAGAGACAAAATCTCTTTAGTTCATTTGTTTGCATTGGCTTGAACGCGTTATTGGTTATTCTACGGTTAAGTAATAGATTTAAAAAAAAAATCTACAAGAAAACCTTCCGCACAATCTCAAAAGATGATAAGATTCTCACTCTTCTTCCTTAAATATAGCAATGTATGTGAATATCTATAAAAACATTTAAACCTGATAATAGAGATAAGTTAATCAATACGAGCGCGTTGAAAAAATGATATTGAATATAAGAGGGTTGGCTAATAATTCGAGTTCCGAATTTCGATTCGAGTAAGAAAACAAAATATTTGGAAAATTCGATTTTATTCGACGTCGTAGGCTCTTTCACGACTAATAAAATCAATTAGACGATTTTCTAACGCTTTGACATCTTTGCCAAAATTCTCTATATATGTTTGCTCCACTTTCCACACCAAACTCGTCAGTTTACCTAAACCTCTTTTCGTAAAACATACATAACGTGCTTGCTTCAATTCCCACGCTTGCTTGCTTCAGTTCCCACCTCATATTTGGAACCTTATACTTTCGAAATTCGTCATAGGCGCTTGAGGCTAGATCTGAAGAATACCTTCAAACTTCTATTCAGGTAATTTTGCTATTAAAGTCGAATCTCTTATACCTAAAAATTTTCTTGAAAAAAGAGAACGAAAGAAAGCTAAAAATAGGTGAGTTTATCGGACTTTTTTGGTTTTACTACAAATACTGTATATAGGGAAATTTTTATCGTTGTACTTCTTGGAGTTGATCAGTAAAGCACAACAGATTTTTATCTTTTTTTTGTTTGATGCGAATATTATTTTTCTAGATTTTAACTTTTACTATTGATTTTAAGAAGAAGATATGTCTAAATCTGTCTATTCAGGCTGTTCGAAATTAAAGACGTGATAGCTGATACATATTTATAATATGGGAAACCCTGTCTATTATGGTTCCTACGTCGAGCATAAAAGTTCAAAATGGAATTTTGAATTAGTATTCATAGCTTCGAAGGCCTTCCGCTCCTCGCAATCGTTAGCGGATCTTGTAATTTGTAGTGTTTTCATGAAAAACTTAAGCAAAGCAGAGGAACTGAAAGGCTGCTCATGTTTGAGATGGGCATACGTATTTTTCCCAAATGCTACATCTAGCGTTAAATTTCTTCGCTTTTCAGATTTCTGAACCACTTCTACATTTAGAAGATCTCTACTATTGAATAGACTTATAACGCTGTACTCGCAATATTTTTTAGGCTTGGAATGAATGTTATAAGAAACTCCTCTTGTTGTCCTTCGCATTTATAAATCAGAAATCTACTTCAAATGTAAAAAATAGAGAAAAAAAATAACAAAAATATATTCGATCGTGACCGAATCTCTTGTACCCATCACTGTTATGCTAAAAAAGACGAAAAAAGTAAAAGAATTAAATTTTCTTGCTCTATTATATGGAGGGGACGAAGCTGGTTTTTTCTATTTTCAAAATAAAAGTTTTTGTCCCATAGGCCTGCGCGCGTTGTATGTGTGTCCTTGGAAAATTTCAATTCTTTTGCAAGTTTGTAGGCGATATGTTTATTTTCACCACAAATACTACACAGTTGCGCAGGCAGGCAAATGGACAGACGGACATGTTTAGGTGCATTCCACACTTGAAACTGGCCAAGAATTTATATATTTTATGGGGGTTTTGAAGCTCGTTTCTGCGCTCTATAAAAGTATTGAAAAAAATTAAATTTTCATAATCTATGATGTCCGGTTGGTTTGCCTCAAGTTTTCCCATTTTGGTACAGCTGCTCGCTCCTAGAATATGGTTTCAAATTTTTGTACATTCATCTGCTTTATTTAATGAGTAATAAGCAGAAAACTAATTTTTTATTCTTTTTGGAAAACAGAGGTGTTCTCAGTTTACGTGATGCTGTGCGCGTGTCCTTCGACCAATTTGGCTCATTTTTGGCCCAATATCAAGCAACTCGCAAGAACTTCCAATGTTCCTGCCAAATTTGAAGTCGATAATTTCATTTTTACGGCCAAAGGAATGTTTGCAGCAGACACAGCGGGACAGACGGACATCCTTAAACCATTTTAGAATTTGATGCTGATCAAGAAAATATATATATTTTGTGGGATCTCTGATGCTTCCTGCTGCGCATTGTTAACTTTTTAACAAAATAAATAAATCTCTCATCCTTCGATGATTAGAATATAAAACGAACTGAACTTTACCTTTAACCAATCAGCTAAAACAATCACAGCTGGATCTTGCAATGAATTTAATAATTCTGAGGCAACTCGTTTCTTCTCTCGTCGATAATTTTTACGTTGAGCTTTATACGACTCTTTGCGATTCAATTTCGATGTATCTGTCGGTGTCTGTAAAGAAAAAATCAAAAGATGATTGATTGTATATAGAAGCCTTAATCGAAATTTTCATATGGACCTACATATACATTAAGAATATACTATATATGTTGTGTATTCATGATAAAGGAATTTTTGTATGTAGTGTAGGCCTGCCAAAGTTTCGATTAGAATATAGATAAAAATCTATCTACATATAGATAACTGCTCCAAAACAGTTCGCTTTTAACTTTGCACAAGTGTAACACAGTACGAACTTAATGTCCAAAGAAAAGGGTGTGAAGACTAATTTGAATTTGCTACCGAATCTTTCTTAATAGAGCACTGGAAACGCCATAAGATAGCTCTGTTAAGTACTTACAATCAGGATATGGTTGGATTTGGAGGCATACTTAGTCCAAATTTGGAAACGTAAGCCACTTCTGTTACCACCTCGTGAATCCATATGAAAATATCTTTCGAACAAGCTAAACAAATTTAAATTTTGTTTTCCGAAACTATTTTTACCAAATATTTGAAATTTTACCTAATGTTAAATAATAAGTTTTCTTAATAAGGTATAGCTTGCTGAGTTACGGAATTTCAAAAACAAGTTGATTAAGCTAAGGTAAAGAGAGAAAAAGATTTGAAAAGAATTTACGTTGTTTGAAATGAAATGAAGCCTTTTTAATAAATAAATATTTACATCGGGACTTTGACGCATTGAGAGCAGAGCTAACTGCTTACTTAAACCATGACTTGAAGGCCGCCTCTTCAAGACGAACATCATAGTGATCACAAAAGTATTTTAACGAATTTTGATACGTCGACATGCTTTGGCCCACGGATGAAAAATGATATTGAAAATGATTTGAATTCCCTTATAACGCCTTGTTTTAAATAACAGTATTAAGGGAAATGATGTAGGGTTTTTAATGATGGACCGCGGTCTGCTGTACAAACGTTCTGGAATGTTCTTATTTGTTTTCGCTGGAATACATTATTATAAGGAATCATAGTTCGATTTTCTTTAGTATCCCTCTCGCAAGTCTTGCAAAACAAATAAGAACATTCTAGTTGGGCAAGGTCTATCATTTAATATTCTACACCACTATGTCTAACACAATTCCTATTTATATAAAAATTATGCCTTGTTTCTATATGAAGGCATATTTTTCATATGCGTCGTTCTGGGGACGCGGACTCAAAACGCCACCTAATGTAGTACACGTTTAATTCTTGCATAAAGCAGGATCCAAAAATAGGTTAAGTTCATTTTTGTATAAAATAACTATTATCGGTCAATTTTCATCCCCATATATTAAAACTTGAGCTTTTCGGCTTTACGAAGGATCAATTTTCGTGAAAATCTTTATTACGATAGGATTCGAAAATTCCAACTTTCCTAAAGTTAATTTTTTTAGGTTCAACAATCATTATGATACAATTTTCAGGATGAAGTATTGTAAATGATACATTTTTGTCGCATAAACTTCAGTTCTCATTATATGAAAGAGGGTTCCAAAAAGGCCCCATTCCCGTCAAGTGTTTCCCTGCCAATTTAGAATGCCGAAATACTACGACATTAGCCACTTTTGATAAGAAATTTTGAAAAGTGAAATTTTTTTTTTTCGTACAACAACTATTTAGAATAGAGCGATATATGAGGAATGGGTTCGAAAAAGTGGACAGATCCGAATCATTTTCAATAGCGTTCGTCCTTACCAATCAAAATATTTCACTGTACCAAATTTCATGGATAGACGGACAGACAGGCTTAAATCAATTTAGATTACGATTCTGAATCGATCCATATAATAAAAGGTAGGTCTATCTCAGGCTCTTCTACGTGTTACATATGTCCGCACTAACTTAATATATCCTGTACCACAAGTATTGTGTAGACCATAAAAAAATAGACAGATACAGGCTATAGCAGGAACACATAGCTGTAGCTTGAATGATGGATGGATGATATGAGATAATAATAAAGAAAATTTTAGAATTAATTTGAATGGAAATCTTACCTTATCAGTTTGATTGCCGCCATCGTATTTATCCCGTGTGTCGTTTGCCCAATTGGCAAGGCCTAAAAAGAATTTCATGACGTTAGAAGAGTTGTACGGATTTTGGAGAAAATACACATAAAAAGAAAATGATTTCACGCTGATACATCAGATCACACGCATGACGTTTTATAAACGAGAAATGTAAACAGACAAAAAAATGTTTATAACACACTAGAGTAAATATAAATAATAAATTAGAAAAACTACAAAAAAAAAAAAAAAAAAAAAAAAAGAAAAAAACCTTAAGCACTTCACCACATAAATGAAAATTATTTCATTTTTATAAGAAATTACATTAAAAAGTTAACAATAAAATAACGAGTAAAACGAGAGAACAAAACAACTACCACAAGAGAAAGAAAAAATGAAAAAAAGTTTTAAAAAAATTTACAAAAAAAAAACAAACATTCAAGGCTCATGTTATAAATGGATTGTTCTTGTTGGTGTTGCTGTTATTATTATTATTGTAGTGGCTGTTTTCTTTTTCACTGCGAACGTTATTGTTATTGTTGCTTTTGCTGTTGTTGTTGCGGTGGTTTTTGATTTTTGCATATATATATATGTTGGTAATTAAACGAATCGCTTTACATAAATTTCTTTCATTTTCTTTTCGTTTTATTGTTATTTATGCAATATTTATTTTTGTTTATAAATTTTTTATGCATTTTTTTTCCCCGCCTTTTTTTTGTTCATTTCACTTTGCGTAGTTTTGTTTTATTTTTGTAATTATTCGTTTTTCTCATTTTTCTCGCTTTATATTCCCTGTAAATATTTACATTATTGCGATCATGATGCGAGGCAAATTGCTTTACAATAATATGGAATTAGTTTTATTATTAACATTTTCCGAAATTTTTCAAGTCACCTTTCCAAAACAGATGCTAGGATGGATATATAATTTTGATTGCACTCCCAATTCAAATCATATTTAGAAAGTCGGATGCGATCATTTAATACTTCTACTAGGCACAGAGCCCTTTTCGGGATACGAGAGAGAGAACAACCTTTACAATAATTGGCGTAAGGATTTTGAAAATATGAAAATGAATTATAATAGTTTGCATAGCATCTGTTAATGCTCGGATAGTGGATCGATTTTATATCGATCGATTTGTTAGTCGCACGAAAAACTCGTTCAGGACCTGTGCTTAGCTAAAAGATTTCAGTTTTCGTATAGAAATTGATGGAGAAATGTAAAATGAATGACAAGAAATGGCTGCGCAAAGTCTCGAACGGTTTTTCAGTGCAGCTGCATTTTATTTATGGCAAGAACTTGGGCAGATCTCCAAATTGCTGCATGATGAGCAAAAGAAGAAAAAACTGCATGCTAATGCTCAGTTGGTTTTGAATGTGTAGGGTGCCAGCGGTATGAGACGATTAATTGAGCAAAATTTTAATTGTCAATGAAAACCAGGTTTTGAGTAGCGGTTTCGTGGTCAATCGTCGCCAGACAAAATCGAGAACGGCACTGAACGGGATTGTTATTGTCTGCTGTAATAAAAATGATACATGGTGCATGTGAATATGCTGAAGATAGTCCTTTCGTGCTTGCCGTCTCGCGGCAGTTACTTATTGTTTTAAAACGGCTAACGCTTACTATTACAGATGCGCTACAATTTTTATTATTAGAGGAATAAAGCATTCTTTTCACTACGAGCTTTCTTATGCATTTATCTCCTATACTCCGATTAATTCAACTTTGTTTGTCCCTCTGTCCGCCCTAAATTCAATACTAATCCGCGTGCAATAACTTGCAATGTTCTTTGCAAATTTGAAGACGATGTCTTTATTTTTTGCGACCAACAGGATATTTACCATGGGCGTTATTTAGACGAATAGGCCAGAAGGGCGAGCTTAAATCGATTAGGCATTTGATGGCAAATAAGAAAGTGTGTACTTTATAGGGTGTAGGGAAGCTTCCTTTTGGGTGCTGCAAACGTTTTGGGCGAAATGAATACACCTATCATCCCTTGCAATCGAGTGAATGATTTTTCAAATCGAGTTAATATTCGAACGGTTAAATTGGAAAAGAGAGAAAATAGATAAATTGGGGAAAGGGCCGAGAAATGTAACGAAGATGGCTGCCAAAGATGACAATAAGGTTCTCAATCCCAATCTCATTCAAAGAAAATTGCGGAAACTTTTTCAAACCAGGATCAAAGCATCGTCAGAAAGGAGAACAAGGACAGTAGTCTACGTAATGGGCATTAAGCCAGCAATTGAAGACATCCGATGAATTCGACTTATACAAGGATTCAAAAAAAAAGATCTCGCGGAACGTTACAAGGATTAATCTTTAAACTTTAGCGTTAATGAACTTAAGCTTAACGACGTGTGTTGGCAGAAAACGCCCCTATTTGTCTCTTACATTGATCACAAATTTTTTTCTTTTTTACTATTTTTCTTTTTTAAATGACGATAAAGTTTCAATTTTAGCAGATTTTTTTTTTTTTTTTTTTTTTTGATTATTATTTATATACGTTTGCTTTTATTTTCTTGTTATACAAATTTAATAAAATCTCATAATCGTTTACAAGCAAACAATTACTCATATATTGTACTTTCTATATGATATTCAATTTATTTATAACCAAGTTTCCGTTTTATTTGCTCAGTTCGTAAAAACACCGAACATCACACACATTTGATCTGTGTTACATACACATATGTTTTTTTGTTCATTTCGAAATCATTTTTAAGAACACGCTAAGAATAATTTAATTTTTGAAAAAAAAAAATAAAAAATAAAAACCGCGTATTTATTAAATTTTTTTATATTTTGCGTTTAATAAGCGAACTGTTTACGGACTGGCGGCGAACTGCTTTCATTGTGATGTAAGTGATAGAGAACTAAGCACAACAAAAAAAAGAAAACCAAAAAAAAAAAAATTCGTATCAAACGCTCATATGTAAAAAGATAAACACGCGATGCAGTCTAACAAGTTCGTGTATAGGTCGTCTGACTATCTTAAAATTAAGCACAACACAAAAAGAAAAACAAAAATTAAACACGAATCTTGGGTACCCATCACATGAAGCGGTATTTTTCTAAAGTTCACCCAGTAACTGCTGGGGTAGGAACTCTAAACTGTTCGCCAGAAGGCGCATTGATTTCTTTTGTGTGTGTGTTTTTTTTTTTTTTTTTGTTTTGCTCTGTGAGCTGGAGGTAGAAAATCATCGAAAGATACTGCTGGGTCTTAGTAGCAGCATGCACGATTCGCCATCCCTGGCGCATACGTACTAAAAACTACCCCCCACACACACTTCGTCTACCACTCTCCCCCGCGGGACCACCGTTAGGTATTACTTCGCGGGGGCTGGTTGTCGCTAGCACGCTCCTGATGGTGGGACCTCAGTGGAGTTTGAGTGTGTGTGTGTGTGTGTGTGTGTAGGTCGTCTGACTATCTTAAAATTAAGCACAACATAAAAAAACAAAAATTAAACACGAGTCTTGGGCACCCATTACATGAAGCGATATTTTTCTAAAGTTCACCCAGTAACTGCTGGGGTAGGAAGTCTAGACTTTTCGCCAGAAGGCGCATTGATATCTTCTCATCTTTTAGAAGATCTTTCTAACCAGCCGTTTGCGAGATCGGCAACTAACCGGTCACGAGGATATGTCGGCCTTGCTTCTATAGGTTACACTCGAAAATGAATATGATCTGCACAAGAAATAGTTACACATCCGGCACACGTCAGTGTAAGTAAATTACGCGTAAAAGCATACACGTAAGCTTGACGCACGGGTTTACTTCATTGAAAATAGTCTTCTGTTTGCCTATTAAAAAGGAAGAAGGTGGATTCCTTAGAGTATTCTATGATACGCTATATACCGAAGATCTATCCCAAAGACATCTTCTTATTAACTTTGAGTTTTGAAAGAACTTTTTGGCAATAAAGAGCGTGGTCATCTCAGTAGATCGTTTTAGAAAGCAAAGCCACTGCATAGCGAGAATAATGTAGAATTTTAGGATTCTTAATCCCAATCATGTCGTCTCTGCTGCAGGAATCTCCTTCAGATTTTTTTAATCGTAATTACCGTCGCCTTTGTCCAATCACTTAGATAGCACAAATTCACGATTGAAGATCGTGTATAATGCTCATTAACTTTTACTATTAATGACTGTAGATGGATAGACGGACATAGTTTACGCAAAATGCATACCAATCGACGACCATTTCTAAGTATTACAAATGGAAAGACAAAATTAATATACTTCAAGCCCATCGACGTAAATTGTCGATGCGAGAATTGCATTTCTCTTACGTTTTATGCAGACAAAAACATTAGAAAATATCTTTACTCTCAAAAAGTCTCCAAATTATCGTCAATCAGCGGAATTGCACTCATTGAGTAATAATGATAGTAAACAAATGTATCTCTGAGAAAAAAATCTAACAGTTTCACTAAATTACAGCAAGCAAATCTTACAAGTCAATCTCCTCGTAAAGGGACTGCGTGTCCGTTGTGTTATTTTCCAGAGGATCTATAAGGAAAAATGCCCAAAATTTTCTTAAGATAATCTAAATAAGTAAAAAAAATTAAATTCAGCCGGGACTGAATATTTTACACCCATCACTGATATCCTAAAAAAGGCCAAGGAAGTAAAAGAACAAAATTTTCATGGTCAATAATAAGAAGTGGGCGGAATTGATTTCTTCTATTTTCAAAATAAAAGTTATTGCATGTGGGCATTGTAGGCGTGTCCTTTGAAAATTTTAAGTCAACTCCATATTCTTTTTTTAATTTGCACAATGCTTACCACAAATACTGCAAAGTGGCGCAAACAGACAGATGGACAGACGAACAAGCGGACATGTTTAGGGGCGTGACAAATTTGAAACTGGCCAAGCATTTATATACTTTTTGGAGTTTTTGAAGTTCGCTTCTAAGCGTTATAGAGGTTTTCAAAACCAATTAAACCTTGATACACTATAATGTTGGGTAGGCGCGGTCAACTTTTTCCATTTTTGCACAGGTACTACAGAATCGTCTACAGATAATGCGTTCAAATTTTTG